TATATCAGTGTACTACAATAATAAATCAGTACATCCAGTGGCAAGGAACTATAAAATATTAAAAACAGTATTAGGACTAAACAATTGCATAAAAAGCATTGTAGCAGCAATAGAACGGCAAAACAACAAGCAACAAAATGGATGCAAGAACGAAGCTGTATCAAAAACAAAATATTGTAAAAGCTGCAATAGAAGCAATTGAAAGTAGCATCTCGAAACGTGAGATGAGAAGCGCATCATTGAAAGAACAAAGAAATAGATTACAGCATTTATGGAAGGAGTTTCAAGAAAACCATGGGACGATATTAAAAAATCATGGACCCAAAGATGACGTCTATTTCGAGGCAAATTCATACGAAATGATGGAAGAATTGGTTAACGAGCTAGATAAAACAATATGTACAAAATTAGCTGCGGAGTCAGAAATATCAAATACCGAAGAAATAATAAAAGAAATACCGCTGGATAAGAACCACGAAACCGAATCAAATAAGGACAAGAAGGAAGAAAAATGGTCCCAAGAAACAAACACGTTAATGTTCGAAATTAAAAGATCAATTCAGAAATTAAAAACAAGGTTTATAATGGGACTAATGCAAGAAGAAGAACAGGAGCTTATAAGAGAAAGAGAAAGCTGGCAAAAGCAAATAGATATAATACAAAACTATTATATAAGGTTGCGAATTAAATACAATGTACATTCTGAAGAACTGTTTATAGAAAAAGATGATATTGAAGAGTGGCATCGTGAATACGAAGTTAAATTACTAAATAAAATAAAAAAGTTTGCTGTAACAAAAAGGTCAGTTAAATTAGCAGAGATCAAGATTCCATTATTTAACGGCAATGTTGAAGACTGGCAATCATTCAAGGAATTGTATGAAAAAATAGTACACGAAAACACTGAAGTATCTAAGGTAGAAAAAATGTATCATCTAAAGTCACTCCTTAGAAGTGATGCTCTTACTGCAATAAAACATTTGCCAGTATCCGAAAACAACTACGAGGCAGCATGGGAAATTTTAAATCAGCGATTCAGTAACAAACGAGTGTTGTTCCAGTCCCTAATTGACAAGATATTAGATCAACCACAAATAAACAGCAGTAACGCATCCAGCGTAAAATCGTTATGGCATACAACAAACGAATGTATGCAAGCATTATCAGCTATGAACATTGGAATCGAACACGCGGATTCCGTCATAGCACGTATAATAATGCGCAAAATGGACAAGGAAGGGCTGCTTGCGTATGAACAAATAACAAGAAGAACGAAAGAGATACAAGCGCTAGACGATGTTTTACAATTCCTAGAACAGCTATATAGAAGTTTAGAAGCAGCCAATAGCAAAAAACAACATAATAATTACAGCAGCTACAGACAGCCATCGCAAAAGGTATCCCTCCTGACAGAAAATATCATATGTCTGTATTGTAAAAAAGGAGGACATGCAACAGACAATTGCCGAAATTATTTAGCCCTATCAGTAGCTGATCGAAATGTATGGGGAAGGTCATCGAGAACTTGCTTTAAATGTTTAAAGCACCCGTTTACGAATAAAACGATATGTGAAAATAAAAAATCCTGTATTAAATGTGGGCGAGCACATCATACAACGCTGCATAAAGATTCGGTAATGGCAAATTGCGTAAATACAGCAAAAGATGTGTTATTGGCAACAGCGCAAGTATGTATAAAAAATCAACAGGGAGAGGCAAAGGCATTAATTGATCAAGAATCTCAGACAACATTCATTAGCGAAGAAGCTGCTCAGATATTGCAAAAGCCACGAGTTAAAATCAATACAGAATTATATGGAATTGGAAAAGTATTAGCGGGTGATGCAAAATCAAAAATAAAAGATTTGGAAAGTCAAATCGCTTCATATGAGGATTGGAAAGATATAACGAAGAATAACCAGGCACGCCTATCAAGCTTTCCTGATATTGAAAAAGACGTAGAGTTCTTGCGTGACAAAAACAAATGTTTGCATGAACTGATAGGTGATAAGCTATTGCTGGAAGAACAAGTCTATGGTTTGAAAACGCAACTCAAAATTGAAGATCCTGAAGACACACTCAGTAAAAGCGTTAAAATCGAAGCTGAAGCACCTGAAGAAATATTCAATGAGAATATTAATAATAAAAATTACAACGAAAAGGAATCCGAAGAAGATGAACTTCTAGGTATATCAGGGGATACCAATAACCATGAAGGCAAATTTGAATTAAATAATAATTTAATAATTTCAAAAACAAATTTACAAATAATGAATCTAAAAATTTTGTTCAACACAAATTATGTTTTATATCTGTTTTTTGGCCCCGGAACTCCTTACTACGGAGGATTTTGTACGGCACAAACATTAAATAATATCTTTACAGAATTGTATGCAGTTCCAGTTCAGTGGCAGTTCGAAGTAATTCTCAAGCATAAGTATTGGAAGCTTTGGGAAAAATGGAAGGAAAAATACCTTATATATATATGATGACGGCGTCAGACATGAAGGAGGCGATACAACTACTACAACATAATCATATTAAATAATTATGATTAAAATTTTATTATGGCCCCCGGCAGAATGTTCAATCACGAACATGAGTTTGACCTCCGGCAGAATGTTCAATCATGAACATGAATTTATACCATATATTTAATTACTATAGTTTATATTATCACATAAATTCTTAGAATATAGATAAATAGTAACATTTTTGAGCATCCGTATTTAAATAAAATATATTCATAAAAACAATAGGAGGAAAATCCCTAGTGTTGGGACTTCCGTCCTTTTTTAACCTTTTTAACCTTTTTTAACAAACAATTACAGTCCATTAAAATTATATTATTTTAACCTTGATGTAGAAATTAGTCTTAAAATATTTTTGTATAAAAACACAACATTATTTGAAATAAAATCAGTAGCTAAAATATACTCAAACTGTGTACTTCATTAAAATAAAAGTACACTCTGCATGTAGCTCCTTCATAGCTGCTTTTAATAATATTGACGATTTTAAGTGGGACACCTCTAGCTTCAAGAATCTTCCACACGTATTCGCGTTTTAGAGCATCGAATGCATTTTCAAAGTCAATAAAGGTGAGATATATACTGATGTTGAGTTTTGCCGACTGCTCATTAAGTATTCTTATAGTGTTTGTATGATTTATGCCTGACAGACACCGCGAAACGACGCTTGATTCTGCCGGAGTAAATTATTAAGTCTCTCAATGATGTGGTTTAAGATAATCTTCGTGAATATTTTGTTTATTGTTGACAGCAAAAAGATACCTCTCCAATTAGAGTATTTTTTCCCGTCTCCGTTTTTAGGGATCTTGACTAGGATAGCTTCTTTCCATTCCTCTGGAATACATTTCGTATTCCATACCTTAACAAACAGAGGATGTAATTTTCCAAACATTGTTTCCGGTATTACTTTAAAAACTACTGCAAGTAAGTTGTAGTGTTCCGATGCTTTGCCTGATTTTAGAGATAGAATTGCCTCGTATATTTCTTCAGTACTGGATGGTTTACATTCCATGGATCTATTAGCGTTGCGTTGTCTAACCTCTTGTAACTGTTCACTGTTTTCATTGTTTTCGTCATATATTATATTAAGGGTTCTTTTCGAAGTATCATATACATAACTGTCAAATAATGTTGCGATCATCCTTAACATGTTCGATTGTCAAATAATGTTGCGATTATCTTAAACACGTTCGATTAAGTACAATTTGGAATTAAAATTAGTTTTTATAACAGTTTTCGCACAGTTTATTGCATTCAGTGCATTGAAATTTCACTCATGATTGGTTGCAGTTAATAAGTGATAAATCCGATATATGCATACTATTCTTATCATTTTTTGATATTATCTATATAACTTTTATATTGATTCCGGGACATGCTGGTATACAAGACAATGAAATAGCATACAAACTCAAACGGAGATGGTTCAATAATAGTAATAATATTATTAATAATAATATAACATTTCTGCTGTCTAGACAAAGGAACTCTATCCATTCTTTTGAATGGCGCAAAAGAAAGAGAACTAAATTGGGAAAAGCTACCAAGTCTATAACAACCTAAAATGCTTTTAGGGCTTACAACCTAAAACGCTTCCAGGATTACATAGAACAAATGAAGAATTACCGAAGAAATATTACGGAATTACTAACCGGTCCCTGTCGATTAAGGAATCACCTAACAAAGTTAAGCATCCAATCCAATTTAGACTGCAGATAATATAGAGAAGAGAGAAAAATCGCACACTATGTGCTAGGGAAATGTCTGGCACTGATGAACAAGAGAAAGAAACACCTAGGAAGGTTTTACATGGAACATAAGGATTTAAGACTAGTAAAGATAGGCTCTATTTTGTCTTTCATTAAAGAAAATGAACTTGGAAAAACACTTTAATTTAACTAAGGGGACAATAGATCTTTTAGATTGTAGTGTGCTATCCATTTTCCATAATTATGATAATAATAATATTATATTTACATAGGAATTTTACTCTCAATGCTAAAATGGAACAATGAACAGCTGAAATAAAAAAAAAATTATATATATAATTTGTGAATACTCAAATAAATTTTAGTTCACTTCTTAAGATGTTTCTTTTGCTTTTCTACACACTCACACGGTCAAGCAGAATTTTTAATCTGCTGAATTCATTAAGTGTAGCAGGCATCGTAAGTAAAATAATTAATTCTGATTTACAAAAAATTCTCAAAAATGAATCAAATGTGGCATGAGCGAATCGAAAACGACATTAGTTAATTCATTTAATTTCATAATAATATTTAATTAATTATAACTTTATTATAATATTTTTATAATATTTTTATCGGTATAAAATGGATGCAATATTTAATTATTGAAATAATTACATACTTTAAATTCTTTATTTTTGCATATTAAATGAAGGATAAGTTATAAATAAACCACCACCCATTAACAGTTTAAAGAATATGTTTTTATTTTATTTCGACAGCCAAGAAAAAGTTGCAATGCAAATACAAAACAAAAACAAAATCTTTAATCCGTATTTCTTCATGTGCATTTCCGTTTATAGCTTTTTTGCTATGGATGGGCATTTGCATCCATTTATTTGCATAATTTTCTAGATTTTGCTCGATGGCTATTTCAGGTTTGAGTGCCGAGGTACAAAATCGTTTGTTAGTGATTTTTCACATTTCACTTTGCGTTCGTTAATGCGGGCGCTTGAATATTTCACTGCTGGTTGTTGTATTTGCTTGTGTTTGTTATTGGCTTTGTTATTGGTTTGTTTTTGTTTTGTGCATGAATGGAAGAGTTGCAGCAATTGGTTCAGCACATTTGCATGCAAATAACTGGATACGTATAAACGGGCAGAGCAGCAACAACAACAAATGCATGAACTACGAAATGAAATTTAAATTTAACCGGCAATGGGAAATTTTTTTTTATTTAAAACTTTTTTCTTCTTTTGTTGGCGGGTATTTTAA